GAGCTCCAGGCAGAAGACCCTCCGTCTGAGGTGTCGAGGACGCAGGGCCAGGAGTAGGTGAGTTTCCTTCCCCCGTTGGAGAACTCATGGTCGGATACGCGGTGTCCTCTTCGGAAAGTGTCTGAGTAAGAAGATGAAGCAATGCAACTGAGTGGCACATCAGGTGCAAGAGCCGCACAATGTAAGGGAGTTGTCATACATACTGACCACTGAACCAAGCCGCCAAACGCCCAAACATTGAAGCTCCATCAAGGTGACAGAACAGATGACAGCTTTGTCCCCCCTATAGTTGACAGAAGAGCGACTGTACCACCCCCCTTCTTGCCTTAGGGGCAGTCCATTTATCCCTGAGCCATTTATTATTATCCTTCTCGCTATGTGCAAGGGTTTTGTGCCCTTTCGGAATTATCTCGACTCACTAAAGGCCGGCCACCTACACCAAAATCCACTCAGCGTGCATAAGATGCCAGCAGGGTCGCAGCACTATGCTGAGACCCGGCGCCATCTGACCAGTGAGAAGCAAAACCATTTGAACCCAATTGTCTGCCCATCATGAACTTCGCGAAATGCATGCTTTTGATGGCCAGTTGTTCATCGCTTGCCAACAGTGACCAGATTGGTTGCGGTAGCCGGAACCCAGCACAGGGCCGCGGTGCATACTGCATGAAAGAACGCCGACTACCCCTGCGATGCGGTTGACCCCGCTCGGGCTTTACAGCACACTGGGAAAGTGTTCCGCAACACCCCCTGAAAGCCAGTTCTGACAACGGTTCCGACACGGGCAGTTGGCTGCACTAGCAACGCACCATTTCTTGTCTTCGTAGCCTCGGAGTCTTTTATTCTTATGCCTTTCACAGCCATGCTCGCAAGCATGAGATCCGTCTACGCTCTCTCCATGTCTATTCTCCAGCTTCGTAAAGTTGTCGATCATCATCAGAAAGCTGCCTGGGAGGTTGGCAAGGAACTGGCTATCACATGTTGCCACTTGGTCAACATGATAGTGCCGCGACGCACTGCAAACGGGTTGAAACGGTTCAAAGAATGTGAAAAGTCACACAGTTAAAAACTCTGACTTATGGAAGACGGAAGCTGGAACATCGTCCACTTTGTATCCTGAGAGGCCTGGCACAGGACAAAAATGGCATTACACTGGAGTCCATGCTATTTGGCCCATGTGCGGACAGGAGTGTAAAGAGCGTAGAGGGAGTGCCCGGGAATACCAAAGCGGCCTTCGTGGAACCACGCTCGTGGCTCTTGGATCATAATCACGTCCGCTCCAGCCTCAGGGCCGAGTGGCTTGAAATATTGTCTGTCCTACATATACTACCGTGGTTGGAAGAAGAAGAATGGGAGGGATTGGACTTGCAAGAGGCGGCATGGTGGGATCTTGGACAAAACGCTTTCATCATCAGCCTGAGCGACAGAATGCGACATCAAACTAGGTGTTCCTGATTGCGGGAATCTTTGGATCTCCAACGAGGTCAGCACTCTCTTTTATGCTCTTTCTTTGGTGGATGGATCGCCGTGCCCGACGATCTCGGAGGGTCGAGTACCTCTATGGTTGAAAGAAAACTTATCGGTCGACTACTCAACCGCAGATTTGTTGTTGTTGTTGTTATTTTTAACGTCTACTTCCGCCTCCCGTAGGGCATGAGACGTGCCGCACCGGTGAGTCTAGCATATAAAATTAAGAGCAATGCCCTAACTGTCCACCAAAACCATTAATCCGAGGGCAAACCGAGGCCTATTGCCAGTATAAATCATGTGTTGCCCATAGCGTAAACGCGGCCCAACACTTAAAATCGAATCGCCCAGTGGGCGAGCCGCCAGTATATGACGGAACCTGTAGCACAAAGGAAAAGGTAAAAGAAATGACGAAATCACTCCTCTCCGCTCTCGCTCTCGCTCTCCTCCTCCCACAAGGCCTCCTCCCGTCTCCTTGTACGGTGAACTAGCCTGTCCAAGTCCACCGTAATCCTCTCAATGTCGTGGCCATGGCCAACTTCCACCCCTCTACTCCATAAAAACCCCGTAAGGTTGTCAGCGGCGCCACCGCCGTCAGTGTGCTGTTGCCAGAGTGTCTGGCGCCATGCCTTTCTCGTGCAAGTCCACGAAAAGAAGTGCGAGGTCTGGATCCTAGCGATGAAGCGCTGCCAGTAAACTCCAATAGCAAGGGAGAGGTTCTCCCGCGTAGCCGCTTCGCCCGTGACCGGGGAAACTGCATATGCCTTTCTGCAGAAAAAGGGATGGAAGGGATTCTTCCAGCTTCCACAGAAGCATGTCAGCAGGGCATCCTCGTGCTCGAAGCGCTCGTGGTAGTCCTTGAGAACCGCCTCTGGGTCTGTCGTCGCTGTGACGAGAAGTTCGCTATCGATACTATCTACTCTGTCGAAGCCACGAGTTCAGCAAGTGCTCATCTCGAGAAAAAGCACAAGATCGTCGCCCTGAGCAAGCAAGTCGACAGCTCAGAGTCGGAACCGCTATACCGTCCGTCGAAAAGGCCGCGATATGCGCAGGTGCCACAAGTCCGGGAGATCCAGGAGCTTCTCATCGGCCACATCGTGAATGCCAGTCAGCCCTTTGGAATCTATACCGAGAGATATATCGCCGAGGTCTTCCGCCACTTCGATACTTCCCTTGCCTCCCAGATCCCCTGGTCTTGTTGAAGTCAGCGTCGCCAGCTGGAGACCATATACGAACAGAAGAGAGATGCTGTCAAGGCATCATTGAAGGCCGCTGCCTCGAGGATCCATCTTGCCTTTGATCTTTGGACGTCATCCAACAACTATGCGATCATGGCAGTGCCCAGCCACTTCCTCGACAGCAAAGGGATCCAGCAGCAACGTCTCCTTGCTCTGACGCGGCAGAGCGGCGCCCATTCTGGCGATAACCTCGCGACTACGCTGCTCCGGGTTGTGAAGGAGTGGGAGATCCAAGACCGTATTGGGACGCTTGTTTCCGATAACGCCTCGAGCAACGACACCTGCACTACTGCCTTCTTCCGCCAGATCAACCCCGTCTTTACTAAGACCGATATGATAGAGCGGCGTATGCGTTGCTACGGCCACATCCTTAATCTAGTGGGCAAGGCCTTCCTTCACGGCGAGGACTACGAGACATTTGAGGAGGAATCTCAACGGCAGAACTCCTCTGATACTCTCCCGGCTGATCTGCGATTATGGAGGCAGCAAGGCCCTGTTAGCAAACTCCGGAAGATCATCAAGTTCATCAGATCATCGCCCCAGCGCAGCGAATCTTTCAAGATCCTAGCCCAGGAAACTGACAATCAAGACGACTGGCTGCTCCATGAAGAATCAACAGCCGAGTTACAGCTCACTCTCAGCAACGACACGCGATGGAACTCCACGTACCTTATGATCGACAGAGCTATCAAGAAGAAGAATCACATCCAGTCTTTCCTTGTACAGTTCCAACTCTCTGAAGGCGAGGGATACGGGATTTCTGCCCAAGACTTTCTTACTGCCGAGGACTGGCGACTGCTTGCTGAGCTGAAGGCGGTAATCGAGCCTCTTTACTTCCAGACCATGAGATGCCAAGGCTGGGGCGAGAAGGGCTCTTTCGGCTATCTCTGGGAGGCCCTTTCTGGGATGGAGTTTCTCCTGGAAAAGTTAGAGGACTGGAAGCTCTTCTTCGATGAGCCAGGAGACGATGCTACTACCCAGAGCCAGGTTCATCTACCTTGTCGAGCTCTACGCAATGGACGCATACGAGGAAATCAGTCCGCTCGTGTACGATCTCCCGAGTTGAATACGCAGGCCTTGCCTCTCCACGTTCAAGAAGAATTCTCCCTCGGCCCTCCAAGCGTAGCGGCGCGCCTGAACGTTCTCTCTAGCGATTCGCGAGGCTACCTTCGTCTCTCTATCACAAACGCGTGGCAGAAGCTCAACGAGTACTACACGAAGCTTGGAGAGTCTCCCCTCTTTGCAGCAGCAATCATTTTACATCCAGGGCGCAGTCTGCGTTGGCTTGAGACTCGCTGGAATACGGGCGATCAGCTTGCGTGGCTTCGAGATGCCAAGGAAGGTCTCGAGGGATACTGGACAGCGTGGTATCGCGATCAAGCGAACAACCAGTCTCCTCCTCGTTCGGAGAGCCGCCCACAAAAGCTACGAGCTGAGCGGGAAGATAGCGAATATGGCCAGTGGCTCGGCACCGATCTTATACGCCTGCGAAATGGAGCCTCGGATGCGACAGAACTGGAGCGGTATCTACGCCTGGAGCTGCCTATCGAAATCGATAATCCCATAACGTGGTGGATGGATCGCCGGCAGCAGTTCCCGACCTTGAGTACGCTGGCGCTAGACCTCTTCTCGATCCCGGCAATGGCGGCAGACTGCGAGAGAGCCTTCAGCCTGGCGAAGCTAACTCTTACTACCCAGAGACTCGCAATGAATCCAGAGACCCTCGAGATGGTTCAATGTTTGAAGAACTGGCTTCGCCGTGATGCAATTAACCTTGGAGGCATTTATTTCACGCCAGTAACGTCTGCCGATGACGGCGCCGATCTCTAACGTCTGTCAGCGAGAGTGACATAACAGGCGCCAGTTACAGAGAGATAACACGCGGTAGAGCTGCTAGCAGGCCTCAAAAATCGTCTCAAGTATGTCAATCAAGTCAATTAATTCAATCAATTCAATCATCGTCTTCAGTATATTCAAATAACTCAAGTTTCACTGTGAAAATTGCCTTGATTGAATTGTGGTGAGCGCTGGCCGCCAGCGGTGGTTGGGGGGCCCCAGAGGGCGAAGGCGTAGACATTTTGATGTTGTGATGTTTGGATATCGACCGTGAAAACGGCGATTTAGGTGGTGTTAGTGATTTTGAACCTTTTTGGGTAGGGCTGATGACAACGAAGTATTGATATTATAATGGGGTCCGCCCTTGTTGCTTCGCAGATGTATAGTAGTATTAGATATTCATAATGACGAGAAAGCGTGTGACCAGAAGGGACGGCGGCCGTCCTCAACCTGAAGAAGGTATAGTGCTTACTGCTCCATTCCTAACACGCCCTTCAGCGCGGCTGTGCCACCTCTTGGCTGCGATATATGCCAGGGGTTCTTACGCAACTCCTCACTCGCGACTTAGGTTATATATCGCAACCTCTTCACGGGCGGTAGGACTGCCTATCATCATCAACTTCTGGGCTCTGCAAAAGTTCAGCAGCAACACCCCACAAAAACGACCAAAATGGAAGGCGACGCAATCATCACCGTCCCCTTACTCCAGCAGAAAGCCGCAGAGGAAGAAGAACAGCAGACCATCACCACCAAGAAACCGGAGCCACAACCCCGAATTACGAAAGTCAACACCCCGGATGACCTCTACGCCGCCCTCCCCCTTCCACCAACAAACCCACGCTGCATCCGCGTCCTCGACCTCGACCCTCTTCCTCAACCACAATCTCAAGTAATAGATACCGATGGGATCCCGCCCAAATTAACCAGTCGTTTGAGGGTAGTTAACCTCTCCGACTCGCCTCCGCCAGTCTTTACAGCGCTTTCTTATGTCTGGGGCGCTTCTTCGCCTTCCTCTCCTTCACCATACCGCATTGGCATCAGTCTTGACACCACTACCTCATCTACATCTCCCTCTCCCTCTCCCGCCACCACTACCACCTCTACCACCTCTACCACCTCTACCACCTCTACCACCTCTACCACCTCTACCACCTCTACCACCTCTACCACCACCACCGATCCCATTGCCTGCCCTCAACCTCAACCTCAATCGCAACCTTAGTCACAACCTCATCAATGTTGGAAACAAGTCTATGAACTAGACCTAACGCCAAACTGCCACTCCGCCCTCTCCCACTTACTCCTCTCTCAATTCTGTCCTTCCCCTTCCCCCTCCCCTCTCACAGGTACCCAGGGGTTAACAATCTGGGTAGACGCCCTCTGCATCAACCAATCCCCCTCCCCCTCAACAACGAGAAATCCATTCAGATCCCGCTGATGGAAGAGATTTACATGCTGGCCTCTTGTGTCTACGTCTGGTTGGGTGAGGGAGATGATGAATCTGACAAAATAATGAGATACATAAAAATGAGGGCGTGTTTGTTTAGACGGTTGCCGTTGGGGGTTGCGGCTGCTGTGAGGGGGGAGGAAAGGGAAAAGAGGGAGGGGGAGTTGGTGAGGAGGTGTTGGAAAGACTTTGATCGTGGGTAACAAGGATTGGTAAACGTGTGAGAGATTGGATAAAATGCTAATAGGGGTTGTGAAAACAGATAGGATACGAGTGCGCCGACCTAGATTGGGAGGGTTACGGGTGGCATACCGTTGCGTTGCAAGTTTTTGGTTCGTGGATGAGACGGTATCCCACCTCTAGGGTTGGAAACTTCCTGGCGTGGCAAAAGGCGAGATCGAGTACGGAGGTTGCAAGTTTTGATGCCGTGCTTGGTCGGGGGTGGATTGGAAGGGCGTGGACGTTCCAGGAGATTATCCTGGCTAGCAACCCGGTTATTGTGTGCGGGAATCACTCACTGACGTGGGATGAGCTGGTGTCGACTATTTACACGCATCGGGATTATGAGCACACGGCGCCGAACTCGGAGACTTCGCCTGCGCTGTTGGAGCACTGGCTTTCGATTGTTGAGCTGTGGTTGAGTCTCCCGAGACCTTATCATGCGTATAATATGCCAGTGGAGAGGAAGAAGGGGAAGAATGTACCGGAGAAAGAGGAAGCTGTTGAACTATTACAACACAAACAACAGCTTGCTCCCTCGTTCCGCGAACACCTCGATCATCTTCGGAAGACCAAAAACTACTCCCCCTGGCAACTGCGTGTCCTTCACGCCCTTTTCACGCTGGCACTCATCATTCTCATCTTTGCTCCCTATGGCTACTTGACCTACTTATCTGGAACCAGCATCGCCCCCCGTATCAGCGCCGTCCTCCCAGGTAACCATTGGCGCGCAGTTCTCGGGAAAGTCTTCATCTGGATCTCGTACGTGTTAGCCTGGCTCCTCGTCAGCTGGGGCACCTACAGTCTGTTTGGCAACTTCTTTAACCTCCTCGACATCACCTTCTTTGGCCGCGGTGCCCTGCGCGAGTTCCCCAATATCCGGTTTCCGCAGCTGAACCCGGGAAACCCGCAAGAGCTCCTATGGCGTGGTATGCTAATTGCGCTGCGCGAACGGAAATGTTATGATCCGCATGATAAGGCATTTTCTCTCTTTGGCGTGCTGAAAGTGTGCGGCGCCCAGCTGTCGATGCCAGGAGGGGTGCCGGATTACAAGCTCCCGGTTGACGAGACGTATCGGATCCTGTGGAAGGATTTCTTTACGTGGCAGCCGAGGGGATTGGGAGTGCTGATCTTTGCTGGGACAAAGTTTCCTTGGTATCATGGCCAGCCGGAAGGTGCTCCGACGGTGGGAGCGTCGTGGGCTCTACCTTGGGGGTTTGACATGAATCAGGGGCCGCAGTGGCTGGTTAACAGGTGCGGATATGCATTTGATGCGTATTATGATCGGTATGTGGAGGCTGGGCCGCTGGGTGTCGAGCTACTGGGACCGAGCCATACGAGACTCAAACTCAAGGGTCAGCGGATTGGAACTGTTATTTTTGGAACTCAGTTCAGGTGGATGGAGCCTCTCGATAACTTACGGCTGGAGACCCTGGCACAGGGCGGTGACATGTCCCGTCTTGTGAAGCTCTGGAAGTGGCGACGCGTTCTGCGAGAGATGAACGTTGACCAGGAAGAGGCTTGGGCGAGCTTGTTGAGCGACCTGCTTGCCCGTCGGTTCAAGTTCAGGGAGTTTCGGGAGCTGTGTGAAATTTTGGATCAATACCAAGATCTGATGCCACCGTCTTCGTTGAACTCCGAATCGGTGGTGTCATCTGGACAGGATGGCGAAGGAGGAACAACCGCAGAGGGACAGGACAATGAGGAAAGCTGGACCGAGTTGCTGCACGATGTCAAGGCGTACCTCGACCCTTGCCTGCAGATGCTGCTGAATGAAGACAGAGGGGTCTTTATCGCTTCAACAGAGGCAAATGGTGGCAAACCTACCTCGACAAGTGATTCGGAAGGAGTCACTACACCCATATCAAGCGGCACGGCAGGTACAGGACCCGTCGATATTCGGATTGGAGACGTCGTCTTTGTTCTCGCTGGTGTTCCAGTGCCGATTGTGTTGCGCCCTGTGCCCTTACCTGGCAGTGCGCAAACTGGAGAACAGGAGGAAGTTGTTTATCGAATCGTCGGCCAAGCAATAATCCCTCGTATTGTGTCCGGTGGTCCAAAGGCACTGATGGACGGTAATACTGATCAAATTCTGGTCCCATTGCCGGGAGAAGGCGAGGTCTTCGAAGGGGAAAATCTTGAGGATGTGATGATCGTTTGAGTTTGAGAGCAAGCTTTGTTCAAGAAAGAGGCAAGAGCAAGAGAGGGACGCATTATGATGGAAAAATTCGGCAGTTTGCGGGAAGGTGGATTGGAGGTTGTAGTTCCTTCCCTTTCTGTCCATTGTTTCTGAGGTAGAGAAGCCCAGGAAGGTTCGAAGATGTCGTGCCTGCCTCTCCTATCTCTTCCGCTTCAGACACATTTGATTCAACAAAGCCAAGGATCGGAATCATCGGATATGTCTTGTTTCTTCCTCCTCTTCATCTTTTTGCTTCGTATCTCCATTGTCTTTCCGCATCATCATCAAAGACCAGACACTCAGCCTATCACGCAAAATGACAGATCTTCCAAAGAAGCCACGCCCCACCTATACCGGCCAAAGGCGGCTGACAATGGAAGAAAGAATCAAACAGATGTCGAAGGAGGAAATTGCGGAGCACTTCAAGGACATCGACGAGATCATTGAGGAGTCAGAGAAGTTTGCTGCCGCGCCCAAAGAAGTACGTGTTCTCCTGTCGCTCAACTACAAAAATGCCCCAACCACTTTCGCCTCTTCACCTTTCGATTGTCAACTGACCGAGGCTTCCGTACTTTAAGAAGAATGACGGTGCCGGTGCTGGTTCATCTTCCGGCTTCAATCCCAACAAGGTGACGAAACCTAGGGCTAAAAAGCCACGGAGGATGTCACACGGACATTTGCCCA